AGCATCCGCCTGTCATGTCTGTTCTTTCACAAGACTCGAATAGTGGGGCAATTCGTGTTATAGTATGATTAGAGAAAAAGCTTCGCTAATTAGTCTTATTATGCTAAACAATATAGTTCGTATGCTCTAAGTATAGGCGATCAGAATGTGATTTTTAGGATTATTCTCTAAAAGGTGAACATTTAGTGTGGACTATACAAGCATCCTCTTACTTTCAACTGTGGTATTCACCTTTTAACTCTATTCCTGTATCTAGAGTAGAATAGTAAAAATATAAGAATAAAAAATCAAGCAAAGAAATATTTATAATGTTTGCAATCGCTCAATCAGGTACAATATAAAATTGGCCCACCAACAACCAAACGGTTGCACATTCATGTGCCAATGGAAATATCAAAAAAGGCTATCACTGGTTTAGCATTCTAATAACCATTAGCTAGTCAGTGGAATGAAAAAAAGATTAGAATGAGACGAAAATAGTTAAGGAAAACGAGTTCAAAAATTTAAAAATTAAACCTTATGAGTCACATCCAAAAATAACCAAAAATAGCTGACCAAGTCATAATATGAAGATAATAATGGAACGAGTGCGATAGGTAACACAGCCAATATTGTAGAATTGCACAAGAAACGGAGACTAATAGTGATATGTTTAACACTATATATGCAAAAAATAAAGGAAATATCAAAAGTCGAAACAAGAAAATATCATGAGAGAAAGGACAAAATTAAAAAGAGAAATATAGCTGCAAGGCCTGAGGCGACTTGTACACGAGATAGCACCAAGCAAGAGGAGGTTACTCGCTGCCTAGCAGGAGTATAAGTCTAATAGATCCAACCTATAATTACGCCTAATCAGACTGTTGTCCCGATAAATAAAGAATAATGTCTAAAGAAGCGTAGGCCGGGATATATTTTTAAAAAATAGTGAAAGTAAGGCAGACGAATTAGAATGGAATATTTGACTTAGGAAAATCACATGTAGACATTAATGAAATAATTATTGCTGTGTGAAAGATAAAGCAATACTGGCGAAATGTCCGAATCACAGCCTGGTTTAAATAAATTTTTTAAAATTAGAAAACAAGAAAACGACTCAAAAGGATCGTGTAATAACCTGGTGGACAAGACGACCAAATAGACATCTGAAGTTCACAAAGCATAAAATATTGGATTGGATTTAATTCGGAGCATCGCGCACAAAGCCTAAACTGGATCACGTCAAATGTTTTAGCCAGTTGCCCCTTTGAACTGCTTGGTAAATAAATAATAGTTTGTTTCTCTATGTGTGTATGTGCATAAAGCAAGGAGACGTGACCAAAGTTGTAGGGTTGTACTAGTAACCTGGTAGAAGAGTAAGAGGAAAAAGTAACTAAATACTAGATTATTAACTTGAGTGCATAGGAAAGATTAAAAAACAAATAAGAAACTTAAGAGCATTATCAGTGGACCTCCGCATTTGCATCATTAGCGAGAGTACTTGCAGCCAGTGAAATAGCCTTGAGGCGCTCAGTCTCAAGATCTATATCATCGTCCTCAAAGTCACGAATATCCCGAACCGTCTTTTGCTGGCCCGTTAGCATCCGAACACCAAAAAGCAAGATGAACTATAGCGATAGAGGGAGCGGTAAAAGCATAAATGGAAGGAGTTATCAATCAGTGGGTGAAAGAAATAGATATGAATGACAGATTTCAGAGTGAATGCAAAAGCAAAAATATAAATGAGGATATGGGAAGCATAAATAGGGTGATTAGGTGCAAATATATTAAAATGTAGAGTATAGGGCAAGGAATAAATACAATTAAATAAATGGTTAGTTATAAAACGATGGCTGTGAAGAATAGTTAAGATTGGAGTAAGAGAGAAGTAAATGATGAAAATGCAATAGATAAAAAAATTTTCGCAGGTTAATTAAGGTCGAAATAGATTTAACAAATAAAAATAATGCAAATATTTATCAATTTGTAACAAAAAGAGACATGCGGAATTTTGAACAACCCCAATTAAGATGATTTACTATCAATTATCGAAGCTC